GTTAACCCTATTGAGACCCTAGGGAAAGGGAGATCGTAGAAAGCTCAGTGGTCAACCGTTTGCATATGTGTGCACGTTGAAATAATCTCAGGAACACAGCGTCGGATACAGCGTCGGGCACAGCCGTCGGATACAGAAATGAGTGCGCATGCTTGTAACTCGTGAGAAATTTACGCAAGAAACGAACGGGAACGACAATATTTCCATAGTAACAGTATCGAGGCAAAATGGCGGCATTTTTAAAATTCCTATTGCTTTTTTTCATTACGTGGGTTTAGGCCAAAATCAAAACAGATAAGTTGCCGTTTTCAGGAAAGTTTCTGTCGAACCTTTTTCGTCGCATATCTCACGTAACAAAAAAATGTTGTGGTAATTAACAGGGGTGAATTAAGTGACTGAATTTGAGTAGCAATAACATGGTTATGAGGTTCGTAGCACCTGTTATAACGTTAGCGCTAGCTACTTGTTATCGCCTCCTCAGTAAGCAAACCCCCTGAAGAAGAATCGTGGCCCTGAACGTTCAAATGACTCGAATAGCTATGGCGGAGCATGCTCACCTATTTTGCGGCTGTATCGCTTTCAGCTTTCTTGCATAAATCGAACAGTTCTTTTTTCTTTCCTTTGCCACCATCACTTCACTGAATGCCTCTCTCTCTCAAAAATAGTTTTTCAGTCTCCCACACTGAAATTTCGAGAAATTTTCGCTCATTTTATTCTTTGTGCGGATGAGAGTGACTTCACACTTAGCCTCGTTCTCGCGCCATAATTATTTCGGCATCGGATCACTGAACCGCGAGAACTCAGAAGTGGCCTGTTCCCTCTCGTTCCTCTCGCTTATTTTTAGGGAAGACCTTAAATAATAATGACCTGAACCAGGTTGAGCCCGCAGTTCTCGTAGTGTCACGCGGTATTTCCAAGAAAACGCCCCTATGGCACATCAAAGTGGCGGTAGATGTGTTGCGTGCTTTGATTTGTCTCTATCTGCCATAACTCTTCTCGAAAATGTTCAGAAGAACCTTTCAATAAGTTCTATTGGGTTAGTCAGTGGGAGGAATGTTTTTTTTTTAAGTATTCAGCTTAATTTTCCTTTGGCGGGAAATTGACGCGCGGATGGTCAGAACTGATCTTGCGCGCATGCCCAAGTTTGACCGCTGTATAGCGTTTGTGTTTAGACTATATCGGCGATCGGCGATCGGCGATCGGCGAGAATTATTTAATTTTTTTTTGTGATCGTAAGGTCATGTTTATTTATGGGAACTACAGACAAAATAGATGTGGCTAGCGATAACAAATTCAGAGATGCAGAAAAAAAAGCAAGAGTTTGTTCAGTGCGGCAATAGCGAACAAGGCACTCCGCAACCTAACGATGATCTAAGTGTACATTTCTTGGAGGACGAATTGGACACGGAGTTCTGGCATAAGGTAATAATATTGATGGTGGACAGAATAACGAGAGTCTTCGATGAAAATTTGCGTTTAACAGTTAAACCTTTCCTTCAGATGAGGCCGCGCTTGACCAATGTACTTGTTGAAAGCAACAACAACATCAACAACAAAACAACTTGGATGGAGAAGAAGACTAGCCCAGATGGTCTTTGGTTACGAGAATGCCAGCATCATGGATGTTGTGATAACCCAAGTTTAAAAGCTGAAAACGTTACATTTATCGTTATTTATACATTTAGGTACGTCAAAAGCGGAGTGGAGGTCTTTCGTGGAATAGCGCTCTTAGTGAAGTGCATGTCGAAAGACTGATCCAAAAGCACATAGACGGCGGAGAACTGGACAGTGAGGACCCGGCACTTATGATGTTGAAAAAGTGGCCAGCTCTGAAAAATTGCAAAGGTGATATACATTATCTTGCAAGCCTTGAACAGCAGGTAAGTAAAACGGTCTTGAAGCATTAACTACTGGTTTGGTCCAAAACAGCTGCATGTAAATTGTTTGCTCTGCAGGTAGCCTTAGTCAACTATTTTTTTGCCCAGGCTCGGGTATTTCAAGTAAAAGTAATATTTTGGACTCAGCTCATTACGGTTTGACGAATTATTTGGGGATCTGTTTTAATTTAACTGTTAAGGGTGAACAATGTTTTGGATTGAAAGATGTTCAAAATACATGGTTACCATTTTCGATAAAATTTACAAGCCCTTTGGTGTCCCATGAAATTATATAAATAAGACTTTTTTTCTTGGTTTGTTTTTCGATTTTTGAAAGGATGACAATGAAAGCTGTTGAATTTGAAAAAAATTGCAATTCAATCTGTATGTTGACTTTTTGTACCTTCCCAAAAATCTTATCTAGTCCAGGATTTTAAAAGGGCATTATTATCAGCTGTCATTTGACTTACCGGTAATTGTGCTTTGCAGATAAATCGATTTTTGGAGATTCTGTTAGAAAGTGAACTTAACTTAGGAAACAGATACGAAACATTCAGAGATGAGGATGACAAAACAAAGAAGACATTGCTACACTATGCTGCAGAACTTGGCTTTTTACATGTCACTAAAACACTCGTGAGGAAATGTCCAGGACTACTACCAGCGATGACAAGAGAACAACTACAACCTGAGAAAAAACGATGCCTTTTACCAGTGGAGCTGGCATTACTTGCTGAGAATGATGATGTGGCAGCCTATTTAATCAGAGTGACTAGTCATGACAGGTAAATTATAATTTGGATAATTGCAAATGTAACATGATTAATCAGTTCTTACAGCAATTAATTTCTCAACTTAGAAAAATGAATTGAAATTACATTAAATTATGCAGTCCATTAATTTTATTTTTCAATAAAATTACATTAAAAGGGATCAAAAAATTTTTTATGATATTTCTGCTTTCTGAAAATATATAATAAAATGTAGCTAAAATGAGTGTATCCTTATTCTCTATACCTAAATGGTGGAACAGGTGAATTGCATGAAGTTTTTTAAATATTTTATTATTGATTACTGTAATGTCCTCAGAGTACAGAGTTTATTTTGTTGGAGACAAGAAGATTTGAAAGGAATCCAGCCATGTTTCTTCAGTTTCAAGTCTATTATTGAGAATCCTAAGATGAAGGTGAGAATTTTTTGCATCAAAATCTCAACTTCTGGAGTCTCATTATTCATACATCAAAGCCTTTTTTATTGCAGAGTTGTATACAATATTCTTGGGTGTTGATAAGTATAACAAAGTTATTTTACATCCAATATATAAAACCTGCAGCTAATTAACACTTATTGATACTGTTATTACAGGAATTTCAAGTTGTGTTTATAATATAATGATAAGTGTTATTGTTAACCTTCAACTCCCATGAATGACCAAAAAAAATCTCTCCTTACATTATTAATGTAATATCAAGCAGACAAGTGATAAGAATATAGAAAAATACCAATTAAGGAATCATTTATAGATTCAAATCCAAACTCTCCCAACTGACAACATGAATTATATTGCAAACAGGAAGAAGAATTACTGATGAGATTTTGGGAATGAATTAAGAGTTCTAGCCAGAAAAGGAAATGTCAATGGGTTTATTAAAATATGCATTTTTTCAAAGATTATCATGCTAATTTTTGTAATGTATATGGGATTAATGAAATGGACAAGTTGCTCAGAATTTTGTTTAGGAAGGAATACCTTTGATTACTGAATGAGTTATTACTGTTGAATTTTGAAACAAGGCATAACAAGGCCTCAAATATATAGGAGGAGGTTGTTAATTGTTATAGTATGCTTAATAGTAAAGTGTAGAGCATTTTATGGTGATTTTGCCTGCCTGCAAAAAGTTTGCTTTCATTTAGGGCCATTTAAAGTCATTAATACTTTTGCTGTAACATGTAACATACATCTAGGGTACTAATTGGCAGATAAGCCTGAGTGAAACTTTTAATATAGACATGGTGATTTTTCCAGAAAACAGTAGTGGCTGTATTGGACCAGATGATAAACCCACACTGGCCATTCCTTCCAAAACGTAAAGAAAAGTATGCAAGTGAAGAAGAAGAAAGAGGAATTGAAGGGGCTTGGAGAACAATCACTGAAAATCCACTGGAGTATTATTTCTATTATCATATATTGGATGGGGATGAAGGAGGAAGGCCTCCAAAGATTATGACTTCAGAGGGGCATAACAAGCAGACAAATAATGAAAATTTTAACTGCAGGGACAAGTCTTGTCTTCATGCTATTGCAAAAAGTGACAATAAGGTAAAATTATTAGTGTCCATAAAAGAGGTAATTTCAATAGTTAAAACATGCAGTCTAAGTTTGCCTTTAATTAGGTGGCACTTTTTCTGTTAATTGTTTTGTAACATACAACCATCTGGCAATAAATGTTGGAAAAATTGACTACAGGAATTTTTTTTCAGACCAGTCAATGGGACCATGTATGTTTCAGAAGCCAGATTATTTTCAACTTAATGTGGTACTGAGGTTACATTTGAAATTCCAAAACTGGCTTCATTTTGAGATTCCAAAGAGTGTATAACCTACTCTGTCAAAAATTCTTTAAATGTTCTTATGGGTAGAGTGCAGTTGACTCTGCTTTAATCCTGCTTTAGTGGGACCTCACGTTCCTTTTCCCATCCCTTGACAATCTGTTTGAACGTGTGTAATCTATTAAACTAAGAGGCTTTTAACTATGACTCAAATGATAATTATTCTTGTGCTGACCATAATAGCAGCTATTTGCATACAGTAAATTGTGATTTTGCATAAGATTAGCAGCTAGGTTGCTGAACTCTTCTTAAAATGATGGCAGTGATCTTTATCAAATTCTAAGAACATTTGAAGACAATTTTTTGGAAAGTGTAGCAGCTGCTCTCTGAACTCTCAAAGTGTAGTTATTGCAGCAATTGTTATGTATACTATACTATACTATACTCTTTCCTGGCAGAAATGACAATTTTATTACACCTGGAGCATGCTTTTCCTTTAGTGGAGAAATTGTGCAAATGATTATGTTTGAGTACTTCCATTTGTAGGAAGCTTTACAGCACCCAGTGGTCAGAATGTTAGTTACAGCAAAATGGAAGAGTTATGGACACTGGTTTCTGAGGTAAAGTCAATATCAGTTAAATATAATATGTACATGTGTATAACTTGTTTAGCAGAGTCACGCCAACAGCAATCTTTTCCAAGCTGACGAACCTCGGTTCTTAGATAATGGCGTAATATGTTATCTTAGTCTCCATCCAGTCGGTAATGGAATTCATACATAACGGACCAAATAACGCCGTTTGTTAACGGCTTAAACTGTTACAGTATCAAACAATTAAATTAATTCCCTGAATCATGAAAAAAATAGACTTACATGCTGAAACTTTTTAATTTTTTCTTGGCCAATTTTTCTTCAACAGCCTTCAAGCAGTACTCTATGTCATCTTCTTACTACTCTTGTCTTATTCTTTGCTGCAAGCTTCAACAAAAGTAGACCCTAACCGTTACAGCAGTGCAGCAGACTCATTGCGGGGATTTTGCGAGGTTACCACTCTTTTGATAGTTGCCTGTTATATCTCTGAAGAAATCAATCAAATGAAGACGTAAGTAGTCACTCTTATTGCTAATGACGGTCAAGTCAAATTATATTAACGCCTGAACAAGAAATCTTGTGAAGGGGGAGAATAATTACTGTTCTGCTCAGAAGACCACGAACACCAGAAATATGTTTAACTGTTTATGTCTAATCACAGTGGAAATCTGGACGCGCGAGCAAACCAAAAATTAATCAGCGTTAGCTGTGTTTAAATTTTTCTCGCTACTTATTTTCTTCAACGGATTGACAAGAGGTTCGTCGCAATATCAGTAAATTCAATAATTTTCCAAGTCTTAATCACAATAGTCCCGTGAGAGTGTTTTGAAAATCAAGATGTGATCGTATACAGGTCAGTTTTCCCTTTGCCGTGTCTTCCTAATTGTCACAATACCTTCAACCTGGTTACCTGTGCCTCTCAAGTATAGTCACCTTGCCCCTAACTTAATGCGCGAATGCACGTCGATCAAAATGAATGTCGGTCACATCATCCCCTTGTCACGCTGTGGGGGTTACTTTGTTACCAAGCTAGGACCTTGCGTACCCAGTCAGTTGAGCTTTTTCGTACCCTTATTGAGAAATTTTGTTTTCGTTTTTCGATTTCAATGACTACCTTTGTAATACTATGTTTTACAAACATTGTAGATGATGCACTCAATGTATTTTGGTTTTCATTTGTATCTTGGAACCCCACAAGACTCAAGTTTTAACAAGAAAAAGAGAAAAAGACTGTTGAAATGAACCTTGAGAAAAATCTCTGATTTTGTCTGTCTGAACTCTTCCTGCAGAGAGGGGCTCTCATACTTCTCAGAGTGGATGACTCTGTTTGATTGGTTAGGTCTGCTGTTGATCGTGTGTATAATACCTTTACGGTACACTGGTAGTAAAGCTCAGTGGGTTCTGGCATCGTTAGCTTTCTTGTTCAACTTCTTGAGACTATTTAAATTTTCCTGCCTGACAAGGTAACCAGTAACCAAAATTAATTGTAATGGATAGATTTTTAAGGGCGTAAAAATCCAAATCAGCTGCCTCTTTACTGTTTTCCTTGCTCGGCGCTTGACGGTGGTAGCAGTTCTTTTTTTGTGATGTCAGCTTTTAAATTTTTCATTATTGATATGTAACATTTTTTTCCCAATAATAGCTGGTAGGAAAAGGAGAAACTCCAAAAGATAAATAAACTTCACAACTTGTAGACCGCAATTGGTGTGGTAGAATGCCAAAAAAAATATTGATAATGATCATTTGATTTATCAACGATTTTCCAATCTTCAACGATTGTGAAGAAACAAGTTTATAAAAGGCTACTATCATTAAGTACAATTTAATTGTATAGGTAGTTAGGGTCTTCAAATGAGTTAACAAGCTCCTCATCTGTTTTAGGACTACAGGATTATACACAAACACTTTGGCTAAGATCATTCAACAAGATTTGACACGCTTCATGGCGGTTTTTTCTGTGATCTTTCTTCCCTACTGTACTTCCTTGTTTCTATCACTCCGTTCCTCCTCAGTTAAAACCCACGAATTAAGGTGTGTCTTCGTGTTTCATTTTTTTCTCTTTTCAATGAGGCTTTCTGAACAAAAAATGTGTAAATGCACAATAGCTTTTGAGATCTCAGGTCCCGCGGAGAAATTCTTATTTGCCCAGTTTAACAGTTTTTGTCGTGGTTATATTCAACGTGAAGAAAAGTATGAAAAAGTTTCTTTTTAAATGGTGAAACTTTAATGTGATACTGTAATCTAACCTAACAACGTAACCAAGCAGCAATTGATAAATCCTATTTTGAAAACCAACTGAACACAACTTTTCGCACCGATACTGTAGTCTGACTTTGGCTTTCCAAGCGTTTAACATTATTGTGTCAGTATGCAACCAACTGAAATTGTTTACTTTCCACATTCAGCGATTTTGAAGATATTTTGTGGAGCGGTTTGCGCACTTTGTCTGAACAGCGACCAATTGTGGACGATTACTCAACCTTCAAGTAAGTGCTTTTGACCCAAGTGTGCGCCTACTACGTGAGTTGAAGTGTGTTAGTCAACGTTATGTAACGCTATTGTACACATTTGGATCGGTCCCTTGACTACCGCATTTGTTGAACTGTAACCGTCACTACTCATAGATCTCTCCTTCTTACAGCTGGCTCTCAATACTGTTAATGATGGCGTACATGGGGACAGTGATTGTGATTCTTCTCAACATACTCATTGCACAGATGAGCACGACCTACATTCAGGCCAAGAAAGTCGCCCGTCTGGAGTATGATGTGGATCGTATTTTGCAGCTCACTCGTATGGAGAGATTTCCTTTTCTGGTATGTAGGCAGGCCAGTGTACGTAATAGTGCTTTATACTGCGCTTGGACGCGATACGCATGTGTAAAACCGTGCTGTTAGTTTGTTAGATAACTGCCAGATTGTAGGGATTTATTCATTTTCCATTTTCACTCTTTTCGTACTTGTAATAGGGCCCTTTTTGTCACTTTGCTTTGTGAACTGTTGATTGATCGATCGATTTATAGTTCTAATGATTCATTGCTAAGTCGATATGACTTATATTATTTTTCCAGCATTTGCGCATGAAATATTACAAAGAGGGCGGTTGGATCAGTGAAAAGAAACTTGCTGAAGGTGTGAAGCTGGAAGAATTAACTACCTTTGAAAAAAATACCTCGTTTGAATGGCTTTAGCCAGGGAAACGATAAAAACTAAGGTTTTTCATTTGCTGAAACATTATCATGTCAATTCTAATAGTTTTGTTTCAGAGGTCTCTGTTTGTTGCTATGGCAACTGGTCTATTGGTTTTTTTTTTTGTAGAGCTTCTAGAATTCCATGAAGATCGCAATCCCTGGGAATCAGTGGAAGCGAAGCTAAATGCGATCAGGTAAATTCTTTCATATCCTGCTTTTCGGCTTTAAATCACAGTACATATTTATGCTAACCATTAGGAGTCCTCTATTCCATCTTCTGCTTGAGTTTTTTCCCTATTGCCATCAATTTTTAAAATTTCTTCTTGCAGGAATATGATGAGAAAATTGGTGAAACAGAAGAGGCTTGGTAGAGAATGAACATGGAAAGCTACAAGGAAAGTATTTTCGCCCAGTTTTTAAATTGGACGGTTTATCCTCTGCAGTTCGTTTTAATCGCTCTTTGACTCGAAATTTATAGTCGTGAGTCTGTGGCAATATTTTTAATGGCGCTTCATACACTGTAAACCAAACATGTTTTGTCGTGCGAAGTAGCGTCACTAAGAACCATTTGAAACAAACTAGAGGAGAGCTCATAGGAGGTGTAAAGTTCATATACCTGCTAAGGCGCTAACAGCAGGAAAGCGCGTGTGAGCAAGTTAATTGGTTGTAAATAAAATGCAGTTATTACATCAGCGACTGTAGCAACAAGAGAAATGAAAACAATGGCCACTACAATAACAACTGTCAGGTGCAGCGAAGTAAAACAAGTCATGATCACTGTCAACAATTGATGGGCCATTTTTGAAAAAACCTCTATTATAAAACGTGGGTTAATTCGTGCAAATATATGAAACGGTGAGGTTTTTACTCTGATACAAATATACTTCATTTTCACAAGAGTGGTATAGCACTTAGCCTCATTTTGAAAGTGAGGGTTTGAAAAGGTGAAATGGTCTATTTAAGAACGTTTGGGTGGGTCACGTTACGTTGGCGTACGCATCTTGACATGTACACCTCATTCGTATATACACCTTATTCAAAAATCACATGAAGATATTTTGCGAATTGCATTGCATTTTTCGAGCTCTGTAGGAGCGAGGAAAAATACTAGCATCGACTATTATTTCCCTACCGAAGGATAGATATAATGAATATAATTCTCTAAAAAAGATCATAGGTACCAGTACACATTATGGTCCACAACAAACAACTAAGATTTTTCATCTCCTAAGAGAGGAAACACTTACTAATTTCTCCGTTGGCCTACCTGTTAGTCAATGATGGTATTAACTATAACCACCACTTTAGAGACAAACTTGCGTGTGAATTTGTTCTAAGAGTGATTCCTTATATTCCTTATATATATTCCTTATATATATTTAAACACGTGACACCTAGGAGTACCGAAGTTCTCGTTTAAACGTGTACGTGTATTAGAGATCCACCCAACCCAACCCAGGGGAGGACATCCATCACACAGTAATCTCGTGCGTGGGAAATTAACGTCTCCTACCCCAAACCCTGCAGGAGACGGGACCTCCGGCTTCACGTCTTATCCGAGAAGACGAAGCAAGGTGAGTGAAGCGACTTGCTTAAGGCCACAACGTAGTGCCCCATCCAGGACTTGAACCCGGGCCGTCCAGCCCAGAGTCCAGCGCTCTGACCACTGGGCCACTCACGCCTCACTAACAATACACAGGTGATTTAGGTATTGAGCGCATGATGGGGAGACTTCTTATTTTTGGTACAAATATTTCGTCTGAGTCATCTCCTTGGCTGCGCTCTGTACACAGCCAACTGGCCTGCCTCTTGCCAGTTAAGATTTTTAAGAGCGACGGTCAGGAAATATCGACCAAAATCTTAATTTCGTGGCAAGAGTTGAAAAATCGCTTTCTTTCGTTTTTTGTCCATAAATAGCTTTTAGGTAGATAAGATACCTGATGTGGATTGTTCCCGCCAAAAGCTTTTTATTTTTAAGAAAAATTAGAATATCGGTTTTTGTGGTCGGAGTCACAAAATTGGCTAATCATTAACGTGAAATTTGCATACATCAACTTGCCTCTCGTTCGCAAACAAAGTCGCACGGAGAAATTTGGACACTTTATTTCAACAGAATCACTGTTCTTCTTTTACTAGAAGATTCTTTTGGAGCAAAAGCGACACTCACCGAGCAGAAATTATTCAAAAACGAGGAATAGGTTTTATGGATAACAAAAACTCCGTTTTGTTATTGATTTTCGACGGCAATATTGCACATGTGGTATAACATTTTTAGGAAAAGTCGCTAGGTTTGGTGCTCAAAACTTGAGTGGTTTTGAAGTTATTCAACCTTAAAGCAAAGGGGGGCTTCAAACCCGGTGTAAATAGTGTTAAGGGTATGAATAAAATAGAAGAACGTATGGAGTGCCACGAGTAAACGTAAAAGCTAAACCTCGCTCAACTTTTACGTTTACGTGCGACCTTTCAAACATTGCCTCTATTTAAATTACGCGTCTAAAAGCTACGTGTGTATGCACGTGAAATTTACGCGACAGTGGGAATCCACCCTTATTCACCTACCTAGACGCGAGCAGTAACCAATTAGAGAGCACTCATGTAGTAGGCAGTCGAGTAACATTCATAATACACCTACGCCAGGCGCGCAACAAAATTATTTCCCTTTTTCACTTTCTTATTTTACCTTGAAATCAGTCTTGAGGTACCATTTTGCCTCCTTTAAAGCTTCCTTTTGTGTTTTTGCCCATGTACGACCCATTCCGTTTTCCCTGAGCTGGTGCACAACGTTCACAAGATCTTCAAATGCCTGCGCACCAGAACAGCTTACGTAATCTAACCCTTGCAATGACTTGCGAGTCGAAGCGGAACAAACATGCAGAATTCTTAGCAGTGTACTGCGACTCATGGGTGTGAAATCATGCTCGGCAGAATATTTTTGGTACTGGCAAACGATTCGTTCAGGTATCATGTTCCGTACTATATTTGGAACTTGGATAACCTCGTTAGTTGACAATGTTATTGTCTTGGCTCCGAATGGAAGATCTTGAATTACATGGGAGCTTGTGATAAAGTCTAGGAAATGCACTAATTTTGCTTCAGGTATGAATGACTTCGTTTGTGCATTGGTAGGCACCAGTTTTCCACTGCTATGGGCTGCAGCATGCTGCCTGGCGACCTTAAACGGATAACTTGTCAGGCATGGGATTCACTGTTGAATTGTCGCCAAGCTAACCTTATCCGCCATTATGGACAATATCTGCCTGCGAGAATCCCTTTCGTTTGCATTTTTGTAGCAGTTTGCCAGCGTGTACATCAATTCTTTATCCAAACCACTAGAACAAGTGTGATTTCCAGTTTCATTTTGTTTTAAGGACATAATAGATTCCTAGAGAAGATCTGGATCATTAGGCGCTATTTCACCAAGAACAGCTGAAACCGCTTGCTTGGCTTTGCGCTCATGCAGTCGTCTGGTCCTTCCACTGGCATCGTTCCAAGGTTTCTTTAGGGTGTACCTAATAGGACTAACGTCTCGACTTCTTAAGAAACTGTTAAGCTGGTCAATAGGTTCTTCCGACTTCATTCCTGTAGTGCTTGTCTCGGTTTCTTCTAGGAGGGTTGATGGTAAATATAATGACGTTTCTTGCACTGGTAAGTCATGTGCTTCCACCGAACAAGAAGTACTTGCAGCTATTCGAAGGTTACACATCACGCCCTAGACAAGGACGCAAAATAAATATAACGTAAACTGTATTAAAAAAAATTAATTGGGTACATAATTATCAAAGTTAACCAACACTTAGACAAAGATCAATAATCCCTCCTGGTCTTTGTTGCCTTTATTATGGACTAAAAATAAAATATTTTTTGCTGCCTTCATTTATGATAAAAAGTGCCTAATTTATTACATAAAATACCTTTCATTATGACAAATAAGTACGAACTTTAAAGCGAGTGGTAGAGGAACCCGGAGTGGTATATTGGAAACCCGAAACGTTTTTCTGGGCGTTATTCACCGTATCCTTAACCTTGAGAAAATCACATGAACTCGTATCCCTAGCGGTATAAAGTGGAGGGATGCGTGTGTGTGTAGGTGGGGGCAAGTGGAAGCAAAAATGCTGTTTTTTTTTTAATGAACCCTTTATTCTTAAAAGAACAATTTGGCCTCAGCTTACCATCGCGGACTACGTGGTCTTTAACTTGTTGCCACTGCTTCAAGTTCTCAGATTTTGGTGAGAATAAAAATAGAAAATCCGCTGAATAAATTTAAACTGTGTGCAGACGCAAGGGCGACATAAAATGCACGGGGTATTAAACCTCTTCATTATCTGCGGAACTCAGGAAAAACTGACGTAGAAGGCACAAAATAAGCATATGGCATTGTTTTCTTGGATACCAGTACACAGTCTGAGGTCTACGAAATCGGTTAATTTGTGCTCTCTATCCCTATTCGTTACATTTTAAGGAAAGGCAGCAAGGAAACGGGGCCCGCTCATGCAGACTTTGTGATGATAAGGTCCCTATCCATTTTTTTTTTCATTTTTTTTTTATCTTTTTTGCCCCGCGGGCCTTGTTTGGTGCCACTGTTAATAACACTATTTCCATTGAGTGCCAGTACAGAACTTACAGAAGTCTCAATGGTCTCGTAAGAAAGGTTCTTGGTCTCCGGAAGCTTTGTGGGTAGCTCCCCTATTTTCTGCATGTCAATATCAACCCGGCAGTTGCGACAAATACCTGTTGAGTGAATCGATGGGAAATGTAGGGTTTTGCGGATACGATATAATCACTATTCTGAACAATTACGGTCTTAATTTACACAAGTAAGGGAACCTGTTTTAAAAAACTTAAATGATAGATTTTCCTGTCCTTTTATATACTTCAACTCTTCATTCCCTACCCTTTGGCAGACTTGAAGCCTGATAAAGGTACCCTTTAGGGGCTGAGTCTCCCTGTAACTATCTATAGGCCATCAGGGAATCTGCTTTAAAAAGCTGTAATTTTAGGAGTCCGGTGAAGGCTTCTAAATTTACCTTTTTGCTGCTACAATCACTAATACAAAATGTTAGAATAATGCAAGGAAAAGAAACACGTAAATAAACAAAGGCTATTGAATTTACGACCGTCACGGCTACTTAATTATTGAAAAAGTCAAAATAAAAAAAAAAAGAAAAGTGCTTACAAAGTGCTTTAATTGAAGTGTCAGATTGGACCGCCATTTTAGAGCTGGTCTGTTTGGTTGAAAAAGATGAAAAATGATGTATACATGCCTGAACCAACTGGAATAAAAATTCCCAGTTTCTTCCATATCAAATAACAAGCACTTTTTCAAGTCCTCTTTCTGCCTTTGCGTTTTTTTTGGGCTTGTCCGCCGTGCTTCGAGATTG